CTGGACTTTAACAAGGCCATTGTATCCTTGTATGTGCTTTCCAGAGGGCTGTCCCACTTTATTGGTGCTAATATTGTCTTCACTATAGTCCAAATTACATAATTAGGAGTTTTCCAAAAACCCAGATTAGGGATATTACCACAGCAGGGTTATCCTGCTTGTGGTCTCTTACCTGGGTCCTCTTGACCAATTGCTTTGTGACAGTGTTCAGGGACCTTATCTGTCACAGACACTCAAAGTTTCAACCTGAAAAAATCCAACAGCTAAGGTAATTGTATCCAAACATCTATTATACTGGATTGACATATTAGATAGCAAACATTATATTATCACTTAACTCCCCTTTATATCCCAGGTTAGATAACACTGACCAAATAGCATGTGATCAAATCAAACGTATCATGTAACCTTTACCTAGTGTTTGTTCCTATAACTCCTATAAATGGATATATCCTAAATTAGGCAATCCTATGGCTATATATCTTTATCTTATTACCTTCAAGCTTTTCTTAAGGTAAATTTGTACATGTGAGGTATATAAACCCTCTGAGTATTATTCAATAAAATATAACATTTTATAAATAGTTCTTAATTTCTAGTACCAAGCTCATCATCTGAGGATAACCTTATTCATCCAGTTCTTCACTAAATGACTGCCCCATTACAATATGGTAAAGAAGAAAGCTACATTTATCAACAAGTATGGGCCATCTTAGGTCCCAAATCCTTGAATAGTTGCAAGTATATACCAACCAACCATTTACTTGACTGGCAACTTCTGAGGATTAGCACACTTGAGCTGCTACAAACCATAAACCTGAAAAGTGGCAAGCTCCACCTAAGTAGCTCATATAAGCTTTTGGAGGGTGTTGGCTAACTTAAACCAGTTAAAAAATCTTACCCTACTCAACTTACTAAAGGGAAGCCTATAGTGACAAGAAGGTGATTCTCAGACCACCATAAACACTTTTCTAACCAGTTTTATTAACTGAAACTTAGCTAAAGCCTAAACACCTAACTACTTTGGAGAGGTGACTTGTGAAAGCTGATTTTTTATAAACCTTGGCCACCCTTTTAATAGGTGCAAGGGCTTGTACCCTACAGCTGATACATAATTGCATGAGATATAGGTGAAGATGGCAAGGGTAGATTATAATGTATTGGTATAGGGTTATCACAGTTTTGGACAGGATTCGGGAATGATTAGTAGTTTATTCTACAATGGTTAGAATTTATGCTAGATAAACGCGTGATGAAATTGGGATAGGTTTTGGGGTGACCAGCCAATCAGGCAGGTATAAATTACGCCAGCCAGTTAACCCATTTCATTTATCTATAATGAGATGGTTATTGTCAAAGTGGAGGTAAAATCAATCCAAACCTGATAATTGTAAGGGTTGCTAATTAGGTTTAGATGACATTCACATCTATGCTTAAGGATTGTTTTGTACATTAGAATGAAGTCATATTACTTATACATTGAGATATTTAACCTATAAGATGGATCTGCCGTTGTTGAATCATCAACTACAAGTGGCTGGTTCTTCATCCTCGAGATATGATATAGAGCTTTAGCTGTTACTGTATATAGAATAGAATTGAAAATTGGTACATTTATAAGCTGACCCTTGTTTCTTTGTTTAAGGTAATGGTATTCTTGTCACTAGTATACTATAGCAACCCACTCTATGATCTTCCTGATAAAGGATAGACTTAACTTGGACCTAAATTACTTCAAAATTGGTTGGATAAGTTATGCTACCTTATTAGATTTAAAAATTGATGATATCCTCTAGCGCAATTAACCTGATCTTCTGTGCAAAGAACCAATAGTACCTTATAGGGTGACTTTGGATGCTATCAGCCCCTTCCCCCATTTTCCCCCTCCATGCAACCCTACCCAACCATAGCTTATGGGCAGGATATCTAGGGTATACGTCCTGCACAAGAGGTATCCTGCTGTAACCCAGCTCTGCTACCCTTTTACCATGCCAGGATCTATCCTGGCATGTGGAATTGAGTCATTGATAATTGGCAAACACCCAATTCTAAGTGAATTATTAACTTTTGATATCATCACCGCTGGGTCTTAAAACTACATGAACCTACTGCCTATATAATTAGGTCCAACAATTAGATAGTGGTATCAGTTGTTTGATTTTAATTATCATGAGATAGATACTTAAAACAAGCCTTATTCATGTGGCCCCCAGGTTGGGTCATCTCTCAAGGCAGTGTGGATTTACGGGAGCCCAGCACCCCTGTTTCTGTATAGCTTCAGATAGATGGTCATAGCATTGATTTTAAATTTTATTTGAGGTGGGCTAACCTGGGATGATACCGCACCAATTGAGGGGAATCAAAGAAATGGGAAAGGAGGATAAAACCTGTAAAACCTCCATGCGCAGCGTATGATAGGCCAGGAACTCCATGAACCGCCTTTGCTATTTGGTATCTTGGTTTGGGGCATTGGTGCACAACGCCAACACAGTCATAAACATCCCCTACCCAAAGTTCATCGACTGGGATCGAACTTGGGGAGGCAGTGGTAGTGAGTCCATACTCTGCCACTGGGACATCCTCCCCTTGGTCATACCATTGATGGATTGCCTATATCCAATATTTCAGATAGATTACTTGGGCATATGGCTTAAGCAAATTAAATAGGGTTCATAGTACTATAGCCTCTTATTTAATGTCTTTATTTAATCTAGTCACCCAGGTTTTCAAAAAGCTGTAAGCAGCGTGCCACTCTTGGCCTAGGTTTAAAAAATGGATCTATTTCACCTCCCCCAACTGAAACTGCTCTGAAGCCCAGTAGCCAAAACTTATGAAACCGGTTGATGTCCAATCTGATAGATAAACCAAGGACGCTAAAGATTTGTGTGACAGTTTAAAGTTACTAATTTTAATGTCATATTAGTAGAACGAGAGTTAACTAGCGAGCCCCAAACCATCTATATTGATATGCTCAGCTTGCCGCATCTTAATGAAGTCCAACCATACATTGCACCCGCTTAATCGGGGCTGTGATTTGCTTACCCAAGCAACGGCGCCAAACGTTGAAATTCAATTTGCGTGGGTGCCAAAAACGGTCAAACCACCGTTAACTCAGGGGTATAGAATCAAGCGGGGTGGGAAAGCTGGGTTGTTCTCTGGGGGATAGGTCCGCTTTCGAAAGTGCAACCCCATTCGGTAGGTCGGGCTCGGCTTGCGATAAAGGCGTAGCCATCGAAGTTTGTAGCCATAAAGATCCCCGGTGAAGGGCACGCGTTGCTTTCAAAGAAAAGCGAGCTGGGGGTGAGCTCTCGTCATTAGATCCAAGATGTGAATATCCCGTGCGGTGTTCGTGTAAAGGGCGCAGGCTGACCCGTGGGCCCATTGGCATCTTGCCAGCCCTAAGGCAGCAAAATGGGCGCACGCTTCCACCGGGGGCATAAGTTCACACGAGTCGGGGTTCGCGCGGGCTTTGGTCCGCTTGTTTTGGACGCCAAGCTTCGAAGCCTCCAATGCCAACTTGGTCTGCAGCTTCTCGAGGCTTCTCTCTAAAGGGGTGGGTTTGTACTGTTTGATGACGGCTTGCATCGAATCTCTCGGCTGAAACGCTTCATCTTCAAGGCTAGGGTCATCGAAGCTATGGTCAAAAGCATCTTCCACTTTAAACTCGCCAAGTTCCGAGAGTTGTGCGGTTAAGCTATCCAGCTTCGCACCGTTTATGTCCCGATCGGCATTACGGTTATGGAAAATCAGCTTTTCGATGATTTCCGCCGGCTCAAGGGACAAAAATTCGCAGCACTTTTTGAAAATGCTCGTAACGGCATCTAGTTGAAGTTGGATCCACGAGACCGAGCATCCCATAAGATGTATTACAGGCAGGGCATATTTGGGTCAAACCTAGCGCTTTAAGGTGAGCGGGAGGCGGCTCCCTACCAGTTGCCTCAGGGTTTGAAGACCGATCCAAACAACGGTTAACATGCCTCTCTTGGTAAGCTATACACCGATGTGATAAATCTCGATAACACACGGGACAGCTTATGGCATTGCAGAGGCGCTAGAAGGCGGCGCGGAGGTAACCGCTTCTGAGGTGGTGACGCCTCGTTCGAGGCACCGGTTGACGTGGGTCTCCAATACCCCAACCTCATCAAATCGCTGGCTGCAGATGAAACAGATTAAAGCTTCGTTTTCGGGGTTAACGCCGTTGAGATTATACGCCCCAGTTGGAACTGGGCAGTTTGAATACGAGGGATCGTACGAGGAACTGATCGGCAGGCAGCTTTCATTTCGGTACCTCCCATAAGCTCCCTCCGATTGCGGTGGCGAAGGCTTCCCACCCGAAGGAGGCCACTTTGATTCGGTTCGCCTAACGTCAAACAGGTCGGTCAGCTTTTTAGAAGCGGGAGCCGATTTGGACCGCTTCAACGTACCGCCGCCTAATAAAATATTCAACTCGGCGTTCAATAAGCCCGCAATATTTTAGGCATAAAAAAGTGATGGGTGGAACACGGGGATATGAAAACAATAGGCTTGGAAGAAATACGTTCAACTTTAAACCCCGATCAAAGCCGTTACCCAGTCTAGGTACGTTACAAAACATAAAAATTAAGCCTTACGAAGTGGAAGCTCTAAAAGCTAGACGCAAACGATAAGCGAGGGGTCAAAAAGCTTACCCTGCGGTTTGGCTGTACCGATACTTTTGGCCGTTGGCCTTTTGACGCCTCGCTTGTTACTCAGTTTGGAAGGTTTGGTAAGCGAGGACGTTGGCGGTTGCAACTTTGAAATTAAGCGGTTAACACCCTCGGGATAAGCGGGTTCCGAGTTCCGAGGGTTAAGGATATCGCCGATCGTGGAAGCCACAAAGTCATCCTCATTACCTTCGGAAAGTTTACCCTCGTGAACCATTGAAGAGCATTGTAAAGTGGGGTTGATCTAATCTTATAGATGTAAAGTATATTCGGTACCAATTTTTATTTTTTTAATGGTTAAAATTATTCCCCTAAGAGGGTGGAAGGGGTGAGTCGGTAGGGCGTACGGCTACCAACCTAAAGGTTGCGGGTTCGATTCCCGCCCAGCTTACATCGATCGGGGTTCCAGACGAAGGAAACTATTGGCGGTTAATAGGGCTGACACGTAAATCTTACCCATGACGTAACCAGAAAAATCCGATTTTCGATCAGGATATGGAAAAACTTTCTTCGACGGAGTTGACCCCGCTCAGGTTTCATGCCGACGTTTTATTCCTTTCAGTAATGTCCATCCCTGGTCAGTTTGCCTCGAATAAATTATCCCTCCACCTCAAACAATTTGGTTTTAGCTACCAGTCGATTACAATTGGTTATAGGTTCGAAAAATCTCCTTCGATTACCAATCTTAACTATCAATTTAATATTGTCTATTTTCCACAATGGTGACTATCATCAAGGTCAACTTACTATGAAGATATTAGCTATTCACCATAATTTTATCAACTTGCCTCTGTAAACCTCACCACAACTAACTTTTTTAGTAAAAGACGTTCCCAAGGAACCTTATCACAACTCCCCATAGATAAAAAATATATACTAAATTTAACTCCACCCAATTTTTATTTTCAAAGTTTATCCCAGTTAGCTTTTTGGGAAGCTATGTACGCCTTAAACTAACATGTTTGTGGTCCGCTTCAGCTCTCCTGTTAACTGCACAAGTTTCTAATATGTGCACTATTTGAATTGTTGATAATTGATTGAATAGGGTATTAATAGTATAATGACTATCACTATAGTTGAATTTCTTATAAACAAGTTGATTATTTAATCCAACAATAGACTGGTGCTTGTCCTAATCTTTAAAAGAAGTTCTGGGTTATTAGAGAACTTCTTTCTCTACCTCTTCCTTTTGGTAGAACTTAACCTAGTATTAGATTCAGAGGTCCTTTTCTTCTCACTTGATGCAGTTTACAGTGATAGCAATAAAATAGATAAAGGATCTCTTATCCTTACAACTTCAGTCTTAAGAGTAAAATATACATTAAATATATGTCAGTCTAAATTATTAACGTATTTAATCTTTTCTTATCTACTTCATTTAGAAAAATGCAAGAGAATTTGGTGCCCAACTTTTCTGTTAGCACCCCAATTTAAAACAGCAGCTGTCACCAATGAATAAAACCTCCAGGGTCACACTCAACAATGATCTTTCTCATCAGTTTATTCAGATTCCATCACTGACTATAAATGCAACCTCTTCTGCGTTGACTCAATGAATGTGTCCCAACACCTTTCCCAACCTCAGGATGTCACCCTTATTAGGTTACCAACATGCTTAGGTAATGAGACCTTTACCTATAAACTGCAGGTCATATTACCTAAAAGGTTAACTTGCTTGTTGCCTATCACTGACATCATCAATCTCCTAGCAACTCATAAACTCCCATAAACCCCTTAGTCAATTAGTGACAAAACCCAAACACCTCCTACAAGTTAATTAAGTTATTGATAATGAAATCAACACCCTAATCGCTTGTTTATTATTGGGATCATCCCTGATGAAACATTAGCAATCCAGTGGATCAAAACCCATCATATTACTAAATATTCACTAGGAATATTTCTTCAAACAATAGTTATCATATATAATTGATAACTCACACATCCTCTAGCAGGCCTCACCCTCTAGTGGATAAGCATATTTATTATAATTGATTAAGCTGGGTAATGTGGGCAAAATTCCAACAAGCCCCAACTTAACACCCAACCTGATCTACATTTTTATACCCTTTATCTCATCCATGTTGGAAGATCCCCTTTCAAACCCAAATCTATCCATGATTGGTTCACAGAACCCAGCTTAAGCCATTTCCAACTTTACTTAAAATTGGCCAAACACCTGCAGCATGTATAACCCACAAGCAGTTTAAATGGTATTGGTATAACTGAACCAAAAAAGCCTTTAAAGGAAGTTAAGTACTCTTTTACAAAACTTTTCAATAACATGTATATCAAACTAAATTAACACCTCATAGAATTTTTATTTAGACCATGTTACCAGCTCATACACATCTCAATAGGGTTTTTATACTGTTCTGAGCGGATTAACTATAAATAAAAGTTGGGGTAAACTGATAAGCATTTACATTACTTGGTAAATTTAGAAGTTTAGATTTAGTATTCAACCAACCATAACTACTAATCCACCATTCAAGGTTAACAAACGCTTTTAAAACTTAACACCACCTAACACCAAACCCAAGTTGAAAATTTTACTACTCTTAAACTAGTTTTATAACAACTTTTAAACTGGGGTAAGTTGACCCCGGGTGAAAAATTTAATAAGAGGCTAACTAGCTTAAACCTGACCGCATTTAAATAATTGGTTATCAAAAACCACCCTTTAGCCTTACATCTCATAATCTACCCTTTGTAGGGTAGACCGGTTTTAATCTGAATAAGTGGGAACATCATAGGTTAAAATGCCATCTCTGAAATCCCCACATTGGTTTGAGGTTAACTGAACAATGTGAAAAGAAAGCTAGATGTTTAAAAAAGTTGTAGATGCAAAGGTCATAAACCACAAAGGCTTATAATCTTTAATGCCTCACAGCCTCATAATAACTTTGTGGCCCGCTACTGAGCTTCCCTATAAAGGGTGTTGAGGTAAGGTTTGTTATGACGTAACTCAAAGTATAACTAAGGCCTGTAATAAAGCTGCTAACAGCAGGCATAGAACTCGCTAAGGGAGGTTTAACCTAGGATTCCATTGTAGTATCTTAATAAAAAGTTTATCCAGCATAACCAAGTTAGGGCTGCTTGGACGTCTCACATATCAAAGCTTTTATGAAAGAGAGTTTAAGCATATTTTTTGTGAAAACTCCACATCTTAAAAGCACAAGTCCAATAGTGAGTTGGGGAATAAAAGTTGATAAAAAAGCTAATCTCAGCATGGTAAAATTATAGGAGGTGGAATAGTTTTCATTATAAACCTTATCCAGTGTACCCAACCTATGCTAAGTTACCTTAACAAGGAGTAAAGAAATCAGTTGCAGAAATTATAGACTTGAATCACCATGTATCTTAACACTCAATTGAATCCAGCGTGCACATGGCATGGCTGCTTGGATGGTCGCATGAAGAAGAATCTTGCAAAGACATGAGTAGATGTCTGCTTTTAAACCTCTAGTTCTTTGTTACAAAAGTCAGATAGTTTTTGTTTTTGGAAGGTTAGTATATGAAACTTTGAGATGATTGTTTATAACTCTCCACAGAACGACCATCAAAAGAATTAGTAAAACATACCTTGTATGGTGCCAACACCTTTATAGCTTACAGATAAAACCCAGAATACCTCCATAAGGAGGTAAGCTGAGAGGGTAGCAGAAGGTAGCATTGGATAAGTAATTATAAAGTTTGCCTTTATCAAAAAAAAGAAAGATGATCAACAGAGATTTTGTCAGAGAAACACTACTTTAATAACAATTGGGATGATAGGCATGGATCAATTTGTAGGGCTCAGTTTTATCTTTAGCCAATAAGAATGATTTTAAGTCCCAGGGAGCACCCCCTGAGCCTCAATCATGAGAAGCTCCTATTATGGATAAAAAATGGGGCCCAAGAAGGTGACCATCCCTCTCGTTTCCTAAGGAAACTTAGTCCATGTGGTAGATGAGAGGTAAGTGACAGATAACCACTGAAGGTTGCTCCCCTGTATCCCCTTTTCACCACCCAGGAGTTGGTGCAGAATATTGGGGGGTGTTTGGAGGTGGCAGTGGCAAGAAGACATTGGCAGTGGAAAGTTTGTGGCCACTCTTCTTCCTCAGTAGTCTCAGGCCTCAATGCAAGGTTTGTTGAAATTAATAATCAGTGCCTTGCATATTGATATCATCCATTGTGCACTCAGGTTCAAGGCCTCATAAATTTGTTTTCTCCCCACCAGAAAAGGTGAGCCCATCCCAACAGGTTCAGGAATGATAGATCCCTTAAATATGTGATGTGACCTCCCCTACCTACCCTGGCCATAGGTGCACTCAGTCATTCACTAGGCAAAGTGCCATTGATCCATCAAGCGAAATTGCACTGGGAGAAAACCTAGTGGTAAAATTTGAGCCTAATTTGGCTGATCAGGGTGAGATCAATCTGACTTTGTTAAAGTTTAAAACTTTGAACTTCCAGAAATATTATGATTTTGTTACCCTTGTTTTATGCAAATTTATTATTCTTCAGGCCCTAGCACTTAAGAAAATGGTCCCCCACAGGTGCTGTTGTCAGTCAAATTTTTTGCCTTTTTTATACAAATTCCGTGCTTAAAATTTAACCTTCTAATTTGAGCATTTTATTAGCCGTGCTCTTGCTCGTGCTATGTTTACCAGTCTATGTAACAACTAAACATAGTGGCCATAATCAAAACCTTGTTGCCCACCCTACTTGAATGGGGCTAGATATGGAGGTCACCTGGGTGTGACTTCCATCTTGGATGCCTTGTGGCGCCACGATGTGCCCTTGCTCCTTGGGATGATCCACACTCAGTGGGCCAAGTTTTGCAATTCTTCCTCACACTCGATCCCTCACAACCTTGAAACAGATTCTGGACCCCCTGGGGGGTCCAAGAAAACAATTCCATGAAGTCCATAACTGCATCTTTCACAACTGTGTGGTTGCTGGTGGGTATGTTAGTAACAGTGATTGTCAATCATTATCCTGCAGTTGTTCCCCTTCTATTGAGATACCAAGTCATATGGACAGCTATATCATTGGTATGATGGGTTCCAATCACCCAAAATTTCAGGCAAACTTTACTTTAAAATCCAGTTTCATGACAATGAGACTACTATCAAAGATAGTTCTAAAGATCAAGTATTTTTGAACTCAAGACTTTGAAACAAGCTGGATGTTACCATTTTTAGTAATGATAAATCTTGAAAATGGATTGAATCCTCATTTGAAAGATCAAATGTAACAAACCTAATTTGTTTAAACTATGATGGGTGATCTTCAGCACCATTGATGTAACCATGAAACTCATCAAAAATTTATGAGGATTAACCAGGACCCGCTTGCGCTTAACCCAGCATTAATCCACGGCTTATCTAAGATCAAGGAGGGTGGCTAAC